GTTCTTTTTCCTATACCTGACCTTGAAAAATCCTTCAGAACATGGTCTTGACATCCTAAAAGAGGAATTTAAGGATTATGGGGACTGCAGTCTGCACCTCATTAAAGGAATGGAAATTCAGGATTTGGATGGAAATTCAGGATCTTCTTCCCAAAGGAAAAAATGGGGTTTTTTCCTACACCCCATCTTAGGAAAATTCTTTAGAACATGGTCTTGCTATCCTAAAAGAGGAATTTGGGGTCAGCACTTCATTGGAAGAATGGAAATTCAGGATTTGGATGGAAATTCAGGATCTTCTTCCCAAAGGGAAGCTTGGGAAAAATCCCTGGTTCTGTTTTCCCAAGGAAGAAATTTAAGGATTTCAGGGTCTGCACATCACTGGAAGGAGCTGGATGGAAATTCAGGATTTGGATGGAAATTTGGGATCTTCTTCCCAAATGGAAAAAATGTTCTTTTTCCTACACCTGACCTTGAAAAAATCCTTTAGAGAATGGTCCTGCCATCCTAAAAGAGGAGTATAAGGATTATGGGATCTGAGCCTTGTTGGAGGAATGGAAATTTAGGATTTGGATGGAAATTCGGGATCTTCTTCCCAAAGGGAAAAATGGTTCTTTTTCCTACACCTGACCTTGGAAAAATCCTTCAGAAATTCAGGATTTGGATGAAAATTCGGGATCTTCTTCCCAAATGGAAAAAATGTTCTTTTTCCTATACCTGACCTTGAAAAAATCCTTTAGAGAATGGTCCTGCCATCCTAAAAGAGGAATTTAAGAATTGTGGGATCTGCAGATCACTGGAGGAATGGAAATTCGGGATTTGGATAGAAATTCAGGATCTTCTTCCCAAAGGGAAAAATTGTTCTTTTTCCTACACCTGACCTTGGAAAAATCCTTCAGAACATGCCCTTGACATCCTAAAAGAAGAATTTATGGATTAAAGAATTTTTCATCTGTGCCTCATTGAAGGAATGGAAATTCAGACACTGGATGGAAATTCAGGATATTCTTCCCAAAGGGAAAAACTGTTCTTTTTCCTACACCTGACCTTGGAAAAACCCTTTAGAAAATGGCCTTGACATCCTAAAAGAGGAATTTGGGGTCTGCATCTAATTGAAGGAAAGGTAATTCAGGATTTGGATGGAAATTCGGGATCTTCTTCCCAAAGGGAAAAATCATGTACCTGAGCCTTCCCCAAGAATTAAATCCAATTTTGCTCCAAAATGTGGGGYTTTTAGAATTTTTCGAGGTTATCAAAGGATAAAACAAGATGAGAGCGAGAAATTGCAGCTCTGAAGCTGAAAAATAGTGAGGAATCATGAAAGATTTGGATGGGATATTTCAGCCATGCCCAGTCGTAAATTCACACTTTTCAGCCCTATTTTTGCTGTAAAATTTGGGATTTCAGCACTGTTGAAAATGACATATTTCAGCCATGGTGAATTTTAAATTCACACTTTTCAGCCCCATTTTTCCTCCAGAATTTTGGGGTTTAGCACTCTTGGAAATGGGATATTTCAGCCACACTCATTTTAAAATTCACACTTTTCAGCCCTATTTTCACACCAAAATTTAAGATTTCAGCACCGTTGAAAATGGGATATTTCAGCCATGCCCAGTCATAAATTCACACTTTTTAACCCTATTTTTGACCCAAATTTGGGGTTTCTCAGCAGCCCCAGCACTCGAAGAGCCCCTGGCACACGAAGGGAAGTCGGTTCCTCCTCCAGGCAGAGTTTTCCTCCCGATTTCCAGCACCCAGCAGGTCCAGGAAAAAGGATTTTTGTCCTTTTAGGGCCCGAAAAAGGATTTTTGTCCTTTTAGGGCCCAACCTACCTGTGGGGACAGAGGCTGCTGTGAGGTTCCGCTTCAGCATCTCGTACACGGGGCTGGGGAGAGGGGACAGAACCCAAATCACCTCATGAGCAGGGAAAAATCCCCTTTATTCACCACAGAAACCCCAAAAAACACAGGGAGTTTGTTCCTAAATGGATCCCAGAAACCACGAAATCACAGCTCCTAAAAGAACCCCATAAATCACAAAATTACAGTCATAAAAAAATCCCAAAAAGCCAGGAAATCACAAGGGGTTTGTTCCTAAAAGACCCCCAAAGAGCACAAAATCACGGGGTGGTTTTTTTTTCAGGACATTTTCAGGATTTTTTGGGGGATTTTTTTCTTATTTTAAAAATTTTTGTGGGGGAATCTTTTTTGGGATTTTTTCGGGATCTTTTTCAGATTTTTTGGGGGATATTTTTGGGGATATTTTCCAGGATTATTTTCAGGATTTCTCTCTCTCTTTTTTTTTTAAATTATTTTTTGGGGAATCTTTTTTGAGACCTTTCTTGTGATTTTTTTTCAGGATCTTTGGAATTTTTTTCATGATCTTTCTCGGGATTATTTTTGGACATTCTTTGGGACATTTTTCATGGCATTTTTTGAGATCTTTTCCGGAATCTTTTCGTGATTTTTTTTGAGGATTTCTCTCTTTTTTTGAGGATCTTTTTCATTATTTTTTGGGGGATTTTTTTTGGTGATTTTTTCTCATCTTTCTCAGGATTTTGGGGGGGGATTTTTTCGGATTTTTTTTCTCTCTTTTTTATTTAAAATTCTTTTTTTTACGGGATTTTTTTGGGGATTTTTCCCACGATTTTTCTCAGGATTTTTATGGGATTTTCCCACTATTTCTCCCAATTTTTCCGGGATTTTTTCCAGAACTTTTCCCACTATTTTCCCATGATTTTCCCCCCGTACCTGGGATCCTTGACAGAAAAACTCTGCAGCCCCAGCAGCTCTCCCAGCGCGTCTCCCCCGCAGTGCACGAGGTGCTGCTCCCTCTTGTCGTAGAGCTGCCTTGCCATGATGTACTGACCCAAAAAATGCATCACCTGAGGGGATAAAACAGACCTGAATTACCCCAAAATTCGCCCAAATCCTGAAAAATCCACCAGGATCAAGAGGATTCATCTGCTCGGAGTTGTAGGGGTGGGTTAGGGTTGATTTTGGGGTTTTTTTTTTTGGGATTTTTAAGGAGGAGAAGTGGCATTGTTAATGTTGGAGGGAAGGGGAATTGAGGGGAAGGTGGGGGGGAGAAGTGTCCCAGTAAAAATTGAATTTTCCCAGTAAAAGACAGAATTATTCCAGTTAAAACGGCATTTTCCCAGTTTAAAATGGCATTTTCCCAGCAAAAATCAAAATTATCCCAATAAAAATGACATTATCCCAGTAAAAATGGGATTTTCCCAGTAAAGAACAGACATATTCCAGTTGAAATGGCATTTTCCCAGATAAAATGGCGTTATCCCCCTAAAAAACACAATTATCCCAGGAAAAAACAGCATTATCTCGGTAAAAATCAGAATTATCCCAGTAAAAATGGCATTATCCCAGTAAAAAGCAGAATTATCCCAGTAAAAGTGGCATTTTCCCAGTTAAAATGGCATTTCCCATTAAAATGGCATTATCCCACTAAAAAGAAGAATTATACCAGTAAAAACCAGAACTATCCCAGTTTAAAATAGCATTATCCCAGTTAAAAATGGAATTGTCCCAGTTAAAAGAGTGTTATACAGAAAAGGGTTGAAATATAGAAAAATAAAAGATAATCTCATCCCAATTCCCAAAAAAAAGCAGGGATAATGCCTGGAAT